GTTGATGTCGATCCCATTGATGTCGATCCTGTTGATGTCGATGCTGTTGATGACGATACGATCGCTGATGACGATATGACCACTTACGATGATGCCTTTATCGCTATTACTGCGCTGATTTCCACTATTACCGCTATGGGTATCATTATTTCCAGCCCCCAGGCCTCGCCCCCTCCCCACATCTCCTCTCCCAGCCTCTCCCCGAAGCCAGCGGGGCGCCACCCGGCCTCATCCAGCGGTGTCTCCTGCCACCTACCGATGCTCCCAAGGAGGCAGCCCCACGCTGCTTCCCCCCGGGGGGGCCAAAGGGGCCCGGCCACGGTGCCGGGCGGCCCGGGGCGGGCCAGCCCCGGGGCCGGGCTCGTCCCAAAATCCTCCCCCGGGGTGGGGATGCGCTGCGCTTAAGAGCGGCGGCGGCGGGCGGCGGCGCGTCCCGGGCCGGCCATGGGGGAGGCGGCGGGGGGCAGCTCGGTGCCGCCGCCCCCGGCGGAGGCCGGCGGGGGGCAAGTGAACGCCCTGACCGTGCTGGCCCTCCTGGAGAAGCTGGTGTCCATGCTGGAGGCGGTGGAGGGCCAGCAGCGGCAGATGGAGCAGAGGCAGCGGGGGCTGGAGGGAGCGGTGCGGGGCATCCAGGGCGACCTGGGCAAGCTGTGCCGGAGCCACGGGGCCACGGGGGAGGCGGTGGAGAAGCTGCTGGAGAAGTCGCGGAAGGTTTGCGCCCACACCCGAGCCGTGCGGGAGCGCCTGGAGAGGCAGTGCGCCCAGGTGCGGCGCCTGGAGCAGCATCACGCCCAGCTGCTGCGCCGCGACCGCTTCAAGGTGCTCATCTTCCAGGTGAGGGGGACGTGGGGGGCATGGGGGGCACTGGGGGCACAGCCCGGCACTGGGGGGCACGGGGGACAAGGGCACGTCCCGCTGGCTCCAAGCAGCGGGGGGAAAGTGCCCGTCCCGCTGGCCCTACCCAGCTTGGGGACGAGGTCCCGTCCCGCGGACCCTACCCAGCCAGAGGAGCCCCATCTCCATCACCTCCTGCCAAAACCAGGGGAAGAGCCCTTCTCCGCCAACTTCCCAACAAGGAAAACAAGGGTTGCTCATTTGTTACCCGTGAGCAAACTCGAGGACAAGCGCCCCGTTTTGCCACCGCTTCGCCAACTTGGAGAAAGTGCCCGATGGCTGCGCCCCAGCCTCTTGTGCTAATTTGGGGAACGAGCCCCCGTGCACTAACTGTTGACAAACTTGCAGAAAATGCCCTCATTTTTTTTTCCTCCAAACTTTTTTTTCCTCCATCTCTTTTTTCCACTCGCCCTGAGCCAGCTTGGGGAAAGAGCCCGTTTTGCAAACTCTTCGCAAACCCAGGGGAAAGGGCCCGTTTCCCTAACTCTTATTAAGCGTTGAGAAAGATCCCGTTTTGCTCGCAGCAAACCTTGGGAAGAGCCTTTTCCTGCTGTTAGCAATCGCAGAGAAAGAGCCCATTTTGCTAGCACGTAGCAGGCTCAGAGAAGGATTCCATTTCGCTGACTCCTCGCTAACTTGGCACAAAGATCCCTGTTTTCCTAACTTTTAGCAAACTTGGGCAAAGAGCCCCTTTTGTTAACTCATAGGAAACTTTCAGAAAGTTCCCAATTTCCTAACACTCGGCAAGCCCAGGGAAGGAAGGGGCTCCTTTTCCTCTGCCCCCAGGAGCAGGGCAGCACCGCAGCCCTCAGCCCTGCTCCCACCCCATTCAGAGAGGAGCTAAAAACTCCGCTAAAACTCCTGGGAGCCCATCCAGTGATAGCAGCAGTTTGCATATTTTCCCCTTTTTAAGCAATGGGCTGGACGGGAGCGCGGCGTGAGCTTTAACTAAACACAGGACATGACTTTTACATCTGGGCAAAAAAAAAATAGAAGGGGAAAAAAAGCCCTACACAACGTGCTGGGGGAAGGAGAGCAAACGCGTTACAGCTGGCGGCTGCTCACTCTGCTCCTTAGGCTGAATTTTTTTCTGTTGTGGGGAGAGGAATAAAAAAATGAAAATTTTAAAAGCTTGGCAGCCTGGCCAGTGCCCAAGGCACGTCCTCCCAGGGAGGAAGCCCCCACCGCCCTGCTTATTGTTCTCCCAGAATGACAGCTTGCGGTGGCACGGCCAGAAGAGGAGGAGCCGTGGCGTGGCCAGAGCAGGGCAGTTTCCACCCCAGAAGGAATGTGGAAATTAGTCCATGAAGGAGCTAAATCGAAAGGCGTGTGCCCCTGGGCTTCTCTGAGTACTTAGCATGTTAGTGCTTTAGGAAGGAGTGGCAAATCTCACCAGGAAGGGGCCAGAGGACGAGGAGCATCCCCACAGCTTGTTTCCTGCTGCAAAGTCAAAGCCTTGGTGACTTGAGTCAGAGCCCTCCCTTAATACCGGCTCCTACATCATGAGGATGGTGCTGAGCGTGTTCCCAGGGGGTGGCCACCACCGAAAGGAGGATGGTGGCTCCGTGAGGGCGCTGGCTGGGGTGCTGCAGGGCGGCCCCAGGGCTTTCTCCTGGGAGGAGCTGGGATTTTCCACTGGGAAGTGGCCGCACCCAGGGGGGGCCTTGCCAGAAGCCCGAGCGATGCGCCCACCGCCCACGGGGCCTGCCGAAGCTGGAGGTGGGACGAGCTGCTGGCCAGCACTGGAGGACTGCGGGGTGGAAAACAGAGCAAAAGGCCGGCTGGGGGACCATAATTTTCCAAAGAAAAACAATAGCAGGAAGGAGAAGTCAATGAAGCCGTATTGACGCCAGGTTTCTTTCAAAACAAAGGGAAGTCTGGATGCGTGCGTCCTCTCTTCAGTTTGGGGAGGCTTCTTTTTGACTAAAGCTAACAACAAAGCTCATCCAGGCCTCGTTAGGCCCTGCTTCCCCAGCCTAGGAAGGCAGCTCAGGATGAGCACGCGGCTGTGCTTGGCTCCCCGCACACCTCCAGCACCCCGACACCTCGCAGAGCACCGAGCACACAACACAGCGAAACCTCTCTGCTGAAACCTCTTTTCTGAAACCATGCCCCAAGCCACCAGCAGCAGCTTTCCCCCAGCCCACATGCTGGGAGTGAACTGCGTTGAGGAAAGTTCAGCTATTTACGTATTTGCCATTAAAATGCTCTTCCTTTTCTCTCCCTAGACTGTCCGTGCTGTTCCTAGCTTGCATTTCTTTTAATCGGTGACATATTCCAACGGCGCTGCATCCGAGCATTTGAGGAGGCAAAAGTTATTACAAATGACACAGCAATTTAGCAAAACACTGAAGTGACTGTTTCAAAAATCCTCGTTAAGCTTTGGCATTGTTCCCTCCTGTTTTGTGCCTGCCACATGACCAGGTTTTTGGTGGCGGTTTGGTAGGTGGTTTTATTTTTAGCTGCAGAAGCAAAATACGAGATAAAAAAGGCTGGTGTTTAATTTTTCAGTAAGATGTCGTGTTTACTAGGGAATAGGCCAGATAAAATATGACAAAATTACAGCCTGGGGGTCAGGCACCCTAATATTCAAGCCCCTTTCAGATGCTGCTCTTGGTAAATGCTTCATCCCCAAATGAATCCTCTTACATTGATAACTCTTACACTGATTAACAACAAAAAATATCTCACGTGGCTCTTGGGACTCTGTCCAGCTGTGCTGTGGGGGCAGAGGGATGCTGTGGCCAAGCCCAAACCACCCCAGTCTGCACAGGAGGTGCAAGTGGTGGCCAGCAACATCCTCCTCCTCCTCGCCCGCAGTCCCAGCAGCTTTGGGACACCCTGGCCTGAGGAGCTTGTACGTGCCTGAGGGAAAGAAGGTGGAGCCACTGCTGGTTTTAGAAGCATTAGTCATTTTCTGACAAATACCTATTTTGTGTAGCAAAACAAGCGTGAGGCTCGTAATCGTCCAGGCATTATAACACCATCTACAAGCAGAGCAGCGTGGGCTGCCCCAGGCGCAGAAAAGCCTCCCCTTCTGGAGGCCTCGTACTCCTTGCAGTGTGGCAAATTAAAAAAAAATCCATTTTGTTTTGTTTTTTCCTGGAAAATAGGCTGCTGTTCTCCAAGGCCATGCATGAAGCTTAGACCAGGATGGGATTTCTGGGATGTCAGCACTATCTGATAGGCAAAGACCACCCGGTGCCTGCTTTTAATTGAGTCACTAGCTCATTAATGTACGGAGAGAGAAGTTTGCTTGATTTATTTTTTCTTTTAGTAAATACGGAGTCTGAGAGTCTCCCTTCTACTCGCTCACAAATGTGATGGAAGTTGAAATAAAACCTAAGCCAGCGTTTTCCAGGGACACCATGCAGTAGTTTAACGTAAAATTTAAGATGACCACGTGAGCACAGCACCAGCCTGTCCTTGAAAGGAGCTGTGCCGACCCCCCTGTGGATAGGACCACAGTGTTCAGCTTCGTACGATGCCACTTTCCTAGATTTGATACTTCAAAAGCTACAGCCCCCCTTTACTCATTAAAATCAGAGTTTTCTATTCCGTTCAGGTGCTCACACCTGAACACTGAGGTGTTTAAAACCCTTCGCAATTACCTAGGTTTGCAAAGGATGCACGAGATGAGTCAATTACCTTTTATACCGAGTTCTCGTGCCCTAGGGAGTAATTTAGCACTGCACCCACTCACACAATCCACGTTTCATTATCTACAGCGGAGAGAAACACAAATATTTGTACCAGGGCTGCGTTTCGCTCACAGCTAGCGCAGGTTTGTTTTGCTTTTGATATCGTGGTCACTGCTGCAGGTAGCTGCAACAACGGGATGGGTGCTGGCTCTGTCGGGCGTCCTGCTGCAGAGAAAGCATCGTCTGTGCAAGGGCACCCGACAGAGGCTTCTCATCCAGGAAAGCATGTGGAAGCCTTGAGAGCACCCAAACTGCACCCAGCCATCAATGTTGTGATAATTTTCATTTTTATAGCCTCAAGGGATGCTCACCGACACACTCCGGTCCCACTGGTGTAAAATTACTCACCGGCGTATTGCTGAGTTCCTGGAGCGCCGTAAGGTAGACTTTGCCATTTTGTTTTTGAAACAGAAGTAGTGGCAGCTTCTGCTTGTTCATCAGGACGTCCTTACGCAGCCTTGCCAGCAAACGTAACTCGAGGCACTCTTCTCAGCACTCACAACTGTATGCTCAGCCCTGAAACGACAAGCATGAACTTGGAAATGTGTGGGTTTTTTTACCCCTTTTTTTTTTAACCCCTTTAACTGTAATCCCAGGCCCACATCCTTGGGGACAAAGATGGGACTACTGCAGCCAATTCTCTCAGCACTTACTGCTTCCTCATGCAAGGGATAAAGCAAGCCCAGAGGATGCAGGTGTGAGGAGCGGGGAGGACAGGTGTGTGTGCTGGGGGCCTGGCTCTCCTGGCATTGGTACCCTGCTCCTGAGCTGCCAGGGCTCCGTACAAGCTGCACCTTTTGCACTTCTTCAGTCTTCTTGGTTTTTTAGATACCTTCCTTCCTTCCAGGCCCTCTTTTGGCTTTGTTTCTAAAAATCAATCATTTTCTTTTTAACTACCCATGTTTTCTATGTAATAGATCTTTTAAAATAGATCATACAAAAATAGATTTTTGTATGTCGTATGCTTTTTTTTCTCCGCAGAGTTGCCCTGTCCACATTTTTTATATTTCCCAATGCACCAACCAAATTTACCGTTTTTTTTTCTGTGCTGTAAATAGCTGTAAAACAACACACACTCTAAACATGGCCACGTGGCTTAAACTACAGCAAAACCCGTGGGAGAAGAAATGGACAGCTTTTCCCCAGCCTCCCCGTCCTCTCCCCAGGAGGACAAGAGGCATTCCCAGTGCCTGAGTGGAGTCATCTATGCAGCACGGAGGATTTCCAAGCACATTTACAGCACGCTGACACTAGCTGTGGTCCTTTTGGCCAGTCCCACTCCCGACAGCTCTTCCCCAAAGACCTCAGGCCGTGGCAGTGATGGTACCTGCCACCCAAAGCAAGTGGGCTTAGGCCATAAGGCCAGAACCTTATCCTCGTGCATCCAGTGGGCAAAAGTTGACTGCCTCGACTCTTGAATTTAACATTCAGACCACTACAATGATATCAAGGAGAAGAGGGAATAGCAGCTCACACCCTACGTCCTGCTAAGCCCGGTGCCAGCCAGAACCTTCACTGTGTTTTTGACTTCTTTAGGTCAATGCAAGGTCTGTAACAAGACCTCCTGAGCCACAATACCATCCCTTCTGCCCAGGGGTAGGCGTACAACTTCATGGCAAACCGTTTAATAACAGTACCTAATTTAAATGACAAGAGCAGGATTGCCATTCTGTGTACATCCCGAGTCACTCCGAAAGAGAAATCGTACATTGACAGCTCATTAGTCTTAAACTGTATCAGATAATGGTTCAGTGGGCTTGGAGTGGCTTGTTACTGGTTAAATATACTGAAACAACGAGAAATGTTCAGCAGCCTTCATCTCATGAAGAAAAAAATAAAGTAATTGTTCAGGGTTGTGCTTTGTTTATTAAATTTGTGTCCTGTGAACTATGAAACTCAAATATCGTCAATTCTTTCAGGAGGAAAATGAGATCCCTGCCAGCGTTTTTGCAAAAGAGCCTGTTCCCAGCATCACAGAAGGAAAAGAAGAGCCCGTGGATGAGAACAAGACACTGGAAGAAACCTTGCATACAGTGGAGTTGTCTTCAGATGACGACATGCCTCACGAAGACGATGTGGGTGACAGTGCAGAGGAGAAAACAGAAGAATCGAGAGCTGAGAAACTTAAGAGATCCAGCCTGAAGAAGGTTGACAGCCTCAAGAAAGCGTTTTCCCGACAGAACATCGAGAAGAAGATGAACAAGATCGGCACAAAGATCGTCTCGCCTGAACGGAGAGAGAAGATCAAGAAATCGCTTACAGTACATCATCAGAAATCCTCCTCTTCCAAGAGCTCGGCTTTCAAAGTGTCGCCCCTCGCGTTCAACGTGAAGAAAGGCCGAGAAGGAGAAAGCCCTGCCGAAGCCGAGGACAGACCCGCGGAAACTGCGAGCAACGAGCAAGCCGAGAACGAGGAGGAGATGTCGTTTGCCGACATGCACTCGGATATGACGCCCACCACGTCTCTGACCGAGGAGAGCAAAGCAGTCGTCGATTCTCTAGAGAAGGAAGCCAGGGTGGAAGGGAGCGCCGTGATGAACAACAACATCGAGCTGTCCATCGTTGAAGACGATGAAGAGTACGGGGTGCCTCTGGAAGTTCCCAGCCAGAAACTGTATGAGGAAAGGAACAAACCGGTCAGCGGGGAAATGGAAGAGTCCGACGAAGAGACGACCCAAGCAGCGGTTCTGCAGATCAACCAGACGGCGTAAAACGTCCGAGCCTTCCTCCGCCTTCCCGATACGCGTGGTTTTGCCTAGGCGAGTGACTGGTTTCTGCTACACAGGTGGTAGCAGCCGCCCAGTTTCCTCCAGCCTGCTCTCTGCAATGATAATTTATCGCATCGTATTGGAACGCAGAGTGAGTGAGGTCAACGACAGGCTGCGATGTGCTCTGACTTTTAGGCCATTTCACTGGTGTTTATTAACGTAGAGATGCTGTCAGCTGGCGTAAGAGACTAGCAGGGAAAGAGTATGTCTAGCAGAAGCAAGCCGGTTAGCTGGCTTTGTTAGAGCTGGCTCAGAGAGATGCAGGGAGAGTAGTCAAAACCCAACCATTTCTGATTTCTTCCCTCACAGAATTTCCTAGCACTGTGAGTAGTTTTGTATGTAAATGTAGAAATACCGACGAGAACACTTGATTTCGGGCTCCTTGCTATGCTCTGTGAATACTAACAGCCTCGGTAGCTGCGTGCCCCTGTAGCCGTAAGGCCAGAAGAGCAGAGGGCATAGCAAAACTGAGAAGTCGGATCCATCAATTTCAATGGGCACAAGGGTTTTTTTTTTTTTTTTGCCAGTAGTCTCTCGCTTAGAAGAAATGACTGCGTTTGGATGGAAATGAAAAGATGTTTTTCAATCTTACCGGAGTTATGGAAATACATTAGTGACAAGCATGAATGTGTAATCAGCTACTGTACCTGTAATGGATCATAAATCTAAAAAAAAAAAAAAGGAAAGGAGTTTGATAGAAACAGTAAGAGTCTGAAGTATGAAATGTTAAAAAAAAGGGGGCAAAATCTAAACCTGCCAATATTAAATCTATACTCCCAGCTTTAAGAATATGTACTCAGATAACACTAATTAATTGATTCTTAATCCTTATAGCAATATACTATAGAACTTTGCACCTGCACAACTTTGTATCTCAGAGTATTTTGGAAATAGCATAATTTATCTTTTTACAGATTATTTCATATATAGAGCTATATCTACACAGAAGAGTTAGATAGTTACAGGGATGTAAGGACAATCACTTCAAAAAGGAGAAAATGCTCTTGTAGGCATGTGTAAAGGGAAAACTGCATCAGGGACTGAATGCGATGGCAGGGATGAGTTCTTGCAAGGAAGAGTCTGCAAAGCAGGTTTGATTCTCTGCTAATAGCTTTTCTCAAAATTGCCTCCACGCTCTCCAAATTGCACGTTTAATTTTTCAAAATTGGGGGAAAACGAGAGGTTACGGAGGAGGTCGTTCCGTATGAATGCCCATTCTTGTCACTACACCAAGGTGAGGGTGCGGGGAGGAAAGGGAAGCTCAACACCCACAGCTGCCACCTTACATCCTTGTTTGTTTATGCAGTGGGTCTTTTTTTTGTGTTTTTTGTTTGTTTTTAACATATACGTATAACTCTACTGACGCTTAACGTTGCACTAAAAGTTTGCTTCCTTCAACTTGTATCTAAAGTCACAAATTATAGCGGAATTAAAAGCTACAACAGAGATACCATTGTGAAATGATTAAGGGATACTGCTCTGCAGGGGCGGCATCTGTGACCAGTAAGGCACACTGGAAATTAGTTGATAAGAGCTTCTTGTAGGCGAGTACTGTTCAGAGTTAAGCTCTCACGTATACGGCATCATATAGGAGATCCTGTTCGCGAGGAGAATCATGGCGTAACCCGTGCAGCTATATTTGTATTTTGTATTAACTCCAGTGGATTTCCAGCGTTTTTACGTGTAACTAATGACAAATATGACAAATAAACGCATAACATGAAACGTGGCCGTGTCAGTCTTTGGGAGAAGCAGTGCAAGGAGCCAGCAGAGATTTCTCCATCACACCTTTACAAGTACAAGCAGGTCTTCAGCCCTAACAAGAGGGAAAGACAATGACTCAGTTCACAAATGTCTGCTTTTGTGCTCTCACACACACCAGAGCACGCAGCTCAGGCTCCTCAGATGTCCTCTGGTCTGTTCCTTCCCTTCTCGAGTCCTAACCAAAAACGTTAGTCCACAAAACTTGCTGTTTCAGGGTGAAAAATGACTGTGGCGGCGGTCGTCGCCTCTCAGAGCATCTCAAATACGTGCCTGGGCCTTGTCATGCTGGCAGGTGTCAAGTACACGCAGGGGTACGCCACGTTGGTGGTGACAGGGCTCGTTCCCATAATTGCTTCTTAAAAACCTGCTGCTTCGCCCTCCTTGCCACGGGAACTGCGGATGCTCGTGATGCCAGCCGTGCAGCTGACATTTCTGTCCGCTTCGGGAGGAATGCAGAGCATCCTGCTGCCCCCCAGACTGCTCCCCCACGGGCAGGCTGCTCACCAGCAGCAGAGCAAAGGCAACGTTTGGCCCCGCTGAGGGCTTTGCCTAGGCAACAAAACACGAGGCAGGGCGCGGGTGCAGCTGCCAGCGCAGCCGGGAGGTGCTGACTCAGCACGCAGGCATCCTCCACCGCCTGCTTCGCCGCCCTCGCTTTCCCAAATAAATGGAAAAAAAAAAAATAGGCCAACAGCCACTTGCCACCGCTTGAAACTGCCTGTTGCAAGGCTTTGCTTTCACAAACCGTCTCACAGCCAGCACCAAGGCCAAGCTGGGTGCACGGCGACGTTTTAATCAGCACCTTTGCAGCTTTCGGTGCTGGCTGATCCCTCCTGCCCTCCTCCTGATCAATACGCCTGCCTTCCCCTCCTCTTTTCCTTCCGAGCCGCATGCCTGAGCCTGAAGCGTGCACTAATTGAAGCGAGGGGCTCTCCCTCACCTTGTGCTGATAACCAGGGTCATCTCCAGCTTCCCTGACGCGGT